GGTGGGGGGGGGGGGGGGGACCCCGGTCCGTGATTGTGCATGCTCCAGACCAGGCAGTGGAACTTCGGATAAAGAATGTCCGGATCTGGGCGTGAGTGGGGGCGGAGAGTGATGAATGAGATGATTCCCACATCGTACCGGGATGATATCCGTGGTCTCCTTGGGCAATTCTCCTCCCTTCGAGCTAGCTTTAGGATGTGAGTTAGGCCCAAAGCTTATTTTGACAAACTCCAAATATACCTATTGTAACGAGAAATTGTAACTTTAATACCACCTAGGTTCCGATCCCTAATCTAAAAGGTTCTATTAACACCAATTGCTCTTTATAACCTAGTGATATCAGTGAGGTCTTACATACAATAAACAGTAAATTCGATTCATCTTATCGCTTTTTCCTTCCTCGAGATCGTCATATGATAACGGAAGCTGCATCATAAAAACGGTTAATCTTCAAGAAAAGTCGAAAGATAAACATAATTCACAACATAACTTGCCTTGAATGGTCATTTTCTTTACTTAGCTAGTTTGCAAACATATGAGTATGAAGTGGAGAAATGTAGTAGTTTTCCAAAATGTGTCTTGCAAAATAGCGACATTGTTGACTTTAGAAGGATGTTAAAAAGTAAGAATTTTTACGTTAAGGGAAGATTCTGACAAGTCCAATTCACACATTACCATCTAAGTTAGATGACAAACTTAGTCTTACAAGAAAAGGACAATATGGTTCTTAAAATTGTGACACATATTTTTGTCATCCATTCAAAACCTTATCTGTGGTATTTGGTCCCTCACTTCTGCAACGCACATCTCTCCATCTCCTCGACAAGGGTGGGGTAGGGGTTGAAAAAGAGAAGAAAATAACACTAGGAAAAAGAGTCAATTGAAAAGTGTATAGACTCGTTGAGAATTTGCATTGATTTTGAATTGATTCTTGACAGTTCAAAATCAATCTTTACAACAATATCAAGTATATGGGATAATTTCAAGATCGTCATTCGATTTTCTGTTTATTGCTCCAAACTCATGAAATTAATTTTAAAAACGGAAGATAAATAGACAACTGAAAATGCTAAATTTAATGTTGGAAAACCAAGTAATACGCTGCTAAATGTATAAAATTGTGATGTTAGTATAACTACGTCAATAACTCACTTTACATATTCCACGTGACACCACTTTTAACCCCAAAACCTCCATAATTTGACTTAGATGCAAATAACTCACGATGAAAGACATCGAGCGTTAGGTTGGGTCTGAAAATGAGTTTTATCGTTATAATGTTACCACATAGATTGTAATGTGAATTGCGAAGAGGCAGCTTGTTTGTGTTTTATAACTTTAGTCCGATCGACAATAAGTTGTATGATCATCCGTAAAATTACCTTCATATTGTGATTAGATGTTGGTTGAGGGTCTATCGGAAATAACCTCTCTATCTTTACAAGGTAAGCGTAATGTCTGCCTATACATTATTACAATCCCCAGACCTCACTTGTGGGATTACACTGGGTATGTTGTTGTGATTAGATGTTGGAAGAAAAGATGTTGGCGAAAAGAATATTTATTGAGTAAAAGAAAGATCACGAGTCATGAATTGAGACGACGGTTGGAAGCGGGGGCAGATGCAACATAGAGTTACCGGGTTCGATTGAACGCAATAATTTCAGCGTAGAGCATAAATTTATGTGTAAAAATCACCACAAGTAATAAAAAGAAGATATGAACCTATACCTTTAAAACTATAATGGGTTCAATGCTAAAAACTTTAAATGTTGAACCCAGAAAATTAAAATCCTAGATCCGCCCCGTATTGGAAGGCCAACAAGCTTCTTGACTAATTGCAGAAGGATAAAAGGAATTTTTTTGGCAGCAATTTAGGTAGCTTTGCGTGATGTCTACAACTTTGTCAAATCATATTGCTTTCCGCGTCATTTTATGGAAGCATCATATCTCTTTGACTCTTTTTTCTTATACTAGTGTTAGCCCCTTTGATTAGAAGATAGTGACTGGCCCATGTTTTAAATAAGGGTCAGTGGAATTCTGATGCTTAATCCAGCCTGAGGAATAATTCTACACGACAAACCCACTGTTTGTCAATACTTTCACATTACCTATTAGGGAGTTCGTTAAAATAAACATCTGTTTTGTGTGCCATTTCTTAGGTATTCCTGAATATGTAACATAAGTTTAGAAGGGTATATTTAGGTGGTCTAGGTTTGTTGTCATTCATAATCATCCCAAGAAATCTGCCAATTAACTTCTCATTGTATTTAAAAAGGAGCTTAACCAACAAAAATATTTACACAATATCCAACCATCCGCAACACCATTCGGTGGAGCTAATCAAAACTTGATGAAGGCTCTTCAAGGACAACATATTACAACAACAACAACAACAACAACAGAAAACACACTATAGTCTCACAAGTGGGGTCTGAAAGGGTAGAATATACGCAGACCTTACCCCTGCCTTTAAAAAGGCAGAGAGGTTGTTTCCGGTAGACCCTTAGCTCAGGAAGGAAAAAAGGTAGGGCAATAACAAGCAAACCAATCTGACAAACTGAAACGAAAGGACAACATATTAGATTTAAGAAAATTTCTTGCTGAGGATTTCATTGAAAATGCTAGATTGAGGAAACAGAGCTGTCATTTATGGACTCTGTACCACTCATAGATCATGGAAAAACAAAGATAAGTCTTCCAACGGAGACCCTCTGCACGTCTTTAGACAGTGTACTAAAGCTATGAATGGCCTCTCCAGCTTCCCATAACTGGAAATTTGACCCCCCCCCCCCCCCCACCCCACCCCTTCGCTCTCCTACCCCACGAAGGAGAAAAAATGGACCTCTACACCTGAGCATTTGGAGAGTCGAAAAACACTCTAGTAAAAGCCTAAAGAAAGAAAAGATTGACATCTACACTGTTAATCTGTACTCTTGACACATCCCATCCACCTATTTGC